ATTGTTCAAGTTGTGAGTAAGTGTAGCTTGGAGTTCTAGGTGGATGTTCAACCTTAATTGGTCTCCATCGAACCGCTGGTATATAAACAGTACATTGGAAAAGGCAAATCTCAGTGGGATTTTGAGATTTGGTGGGGGATTGTTGGAATTAATGAATGGGCCTTAGCCCACTCGAAGATTAATTATTTGGAAAATCACAAAAGCCCACCTCATGGGATGGCATGCATGTGGAGTTTAGTACCACCTTGCTTATTCTAGGAGAGGGGGACCTCCTTAAAAGGGAGGATGCCCTCCTAGCCACTTGAAGCATGTGTGGTGGAGAGAAGAGGGGAAACACACGCACGCGCTCGCTCGCCTCGCCTGGCAGGGCAGGGCAGGGCAGGGCAGGCGGCGCGCGTGCACGACGTACGCGTCGAATGGTCCGAAAAATTGGCTCCTCACCCTTGCGCAGATGCAGCCTCCTTTTGCAGTTTTGTTTTGCTGCAAATTCGGATTCGTTTTGTTTTGGAAACGTTCCGAAAAATCCGGTGCGTGCAAACGGCGTGGAGTCCGGATAAGTTACGCGCGACTTATCCGGTTCGGTTACGCGCAGTAGAGATCGTGCGGGCGCCCTGATCAAGCGACCCTTCTCTATATAAACCGACCCGCCGTCTTCACGCGATATATGCGAAAATCAATCTAGGGTTTGCCTCCTACTCTGTACTGCGCCGTCGCTCGTAGACTACTCCATCCCGCTCGCCGGCGTGCACCAGCGATCGGGAGAGCAGGTCTCCGGAACCTCTGCCTTTGACGTCCTGCACCGGGAGAAGGCGGCAATAAGGTTTTTGGGAAGCGCTTCGCGCGACTGCTCCCTGTTCGTTCGTGACGGCTCGCCTTCCTCTTCGCTCGCGTGTTTCGTGCCTTCGTAGACACCTGCGAAAAGTTTCGACCAAGCAGCCGGTCTTTTCGTCACCTCGGTACGTGTTCAATATGTTGCGCATATTTGATCTGTTCATGTTATTCTGCGTAGTTTACATGTGTAGATCTAATGATGCGTTCATGCTAGTTTTCATCTGTAATGTCATGATTTATTTATGGAATAAATTAAATCATTATATGCCCATAATCTTAACATTACCCAGATTGGTTATAATTATATTATGCCTTTTTGAACTGATACGGTAGGATGGAGGGTGTACGATTTGATCGATCCTTCATGCATTCATTCCTCATCTGGTTTGGTTTTAGTTTTGGTTTGGTTTGACAGTAATCCAATTCCATCAGCATGCCGACCACCGGGGAAGCGAGGTCACCGATCTGAAAAGGACCAGCCGCGATCTCTTCATCTCTTCCCGGTGTCGGTCAGCGACTTGGTACTCTGGAATTAAAGAGTCCGTGTCCATCCCAGTGGCCACTGCAACCAGCGCACACGTATAGATCTGTGACCTCAGCTACAGTACCCTGGAATAAGCCAAATAACATATTTGTAAACGTAAAATAATTTATGAATAAAACTTTTATATACGTGTTCTTAACAATTTAATAGCAAAGCCTTAAAAAATAAACTACGATGAAAAAACCCCAAAATCAACTCTAAATTTAAAGTTAAATATTCAAATTTTGATTGATAAGTATAAACATAAGTGAAAAAATAAGACCTACATATCCCAACTCAACTAAGCACTGAAAAAAAAACATGAAGAATTTACGTGCTAGTATTTGTTTAGCTGCTTGTTGGTTTGCTACCATTTCGAACCTTATAGGAAACAAATTAAACATGACTGATTCAATCGTCTAATTTTCTATTATATATGGTTCTATCACCTTAATATAGTTGTCCAAGTTCAATAAAAAACTTTCTTTATATATAAAAGATGAACATGCATGGATGATTTTCTGTCAGGCTGTTGATTTGCAACGGCTTCACCGGTATCAGGGGTTCAGTATGTATCTAGCCGCCATTTGAGAAAAATGGAAGCAAGCAGCATTGCAAATTTGTACCCCACTTACTAATTGAGGAGAGAAACATTCTACTGTGTAGCTGTTAATTTGGTTCTACTCCACTGTGCATCAGTGGCCAGAGGCGCAAACGCATGTGAGCAGCATGCAATGCAGCATGTGACCAGAATTCAGAGCCGTCAGTTTAAACAATTTACTACAGTACTAGTCCTGTTTGGTCTGCAAACACCGGCCGATCTCAATAACGAGACGAGTGGCATCTGATCTGACCAGCTGACCTGTCTGGCTGGCTGTCTATACTCTCTTCTCCATCTGACCATCTCCATGCTGAGCTGAGGCTACTGCGTACTCAATTCCTGGCTAGTGGCTATGAACCGGTTCATTGCCAGGATTTGATTCATTTTTAGGCCTTGTTTAGTTCTAAACTTTTTTTTTTAAACTTTTAACTTTTTCATCACATCAAATCATTTCTACACACATAAACTTCCAATTTTTTCATCACATCGTTCCACTTTCAACTAAACTTCTAATTTTGACGTGAACTAAACACACTCTTAGTCGGAGGAAGTACAAAAGCATAGCAGGTGAAGAATAGATCTCATGTGTCAGCAAAAAAAAAAAATTGCCAGTTAAAATTCTTATATCTATGTCCTCAACCATTTAGAAGCAAATGATAAAAACAAAAGTGAAGTGTACTTTAGACCATGTTTATTGGTAAAACTTCACTTTGGACCATCATATACATAATATTTTTCAGTTTGAACTAGTTAACTTTTATCTTTATTGCATAATGGACCATCTTAACTCTATTCACTAATTATGTCTCGCGTTTCCTTAGGCAAAGCTATGACAAGCGTATATGTAGGAAAGTTGACCGGCATGTTGTTAACGATGTGCTCGAGATCATTGAAGTGCTGAAGATGTGGTTTGAGACGGTCCATTATGCAAGAAAAGTAAAGTTACATAGTAAAATAGTTTTAAAAAAAGGATAAATGATGGTCTAAAATGAAACTTTAACAGCAAAATAAGATCCAAAGTGAAATTAACTCAAAAATCAAACTATGAAGAAGAAAAAAAAAACATCAGAATTAATTCTAAAATCAACTTTTAAAATTTAAATGTTTACAACGGCTTAAAAGCTAGTATTCACTTTCGTACAAAGTTTGTTTTTCATGAGACTGGGAGAGTACGTGTAAACGACGGGCCTGGATCGTTCATGGAGTCTGGGGGTGTCGCCTCTCCCGGCGACGGCGTCCGTCGGCGACAAGGAGCTATCGGCCAACCCCATCGGGTGGATTGGCGCGCAATTATTCGGCTGACGCTGAATGCCAAAAATCCTGTGTGTCCTACCCGGCGTCCTCGCCTCTGCTCCCTTCCAACAACGCTCACGAACCCTCTGTAGCTACAGACACACACTGCACACATCTCATGGTCCTAATCTGCTAAAATTAGCTTTTTCTCCACCAATTTTCTCTCCGATTTCAAATCCCCAATGACGTAGGAATGGTCCACTTTTCCGATGTCATCCTGTCAACGTTTCCATAATCCGTGATTTGTTCGCAGGTTCAGCAAAAACTTCAGATAAACAAAATGAAGAGTTCAGAGTTTCAGGAAGTTCAGAGTTTCAGAAATATTTCCACCAGGAGACATGAAAACTTTAAGACCATTTGCAATCTCTGATGGAATGATGCATTGAGTCCATCAAATGGCTAGCTTAGCTAGAGCCTGTGACCGACATTGCCAGGACCAAGCAATGATCCTGTCTCGTGATTAGGGAATCAAGAACAGTTAAGCTCGAGATCCTGTAGTATGTATAGGCATTGCTCCAATAGATGCTGAATTGCTGATTGATATAGATCTCAACCAAAACCTAACTGGAAAGGTACAATACAGCCGTACGGGCCACATTAGTGAGAAGAGTATTAGGTAGTACTACCTCTCCTTTAAGTACACTATACTTAGATGAACAGGGCAGCTAATTACTCTACTCCACTGTATGTGGAAAGTACTCCGAATTAGCAGCAAGATTACTCCAAATTAACAAGCCTTGACTGCAACTTATGCTTTGTTTCGTAGATTATAGCAGTATCTCATTGGGTTGTGCAGGGCACACACACCATAGCAAAAAGGTTAATCAAACTTTAAGCAAAAGCAAAATATAACTTGACCTAGAACTGATAACAATCCCTTGTTTTATTTTTCCACTTCATTTTCTATCTCATGTTCCAAGTGATAGTAACTAGTCGTAATTTGAGAGCTCGTTTTCTTCAAGGGAAGTAAAGATCACCAACGAGACAAGCTAACAACTACTGCTGCTGCACAGCAATTGGTTGATCGGCAACATCAAATTCTAATCACTGAAAAGCTACACAATTAAGCGACAAGTGCAATGGCTAATGACAAATCAATGAACATACACAGATACACTACACATTTGTACAAGGAGTACTGTATTTGCCAATCTCATTCTGAACCCTGATTCGCCTTTACTTTTGGCTAATGATGACGATGTATCAATGTTGGAGCCTCACCAAACGCACTTAACTATGGTTAGTTGCTGCTTGCTTATCTGGTTTTTAAAGAAGTATAAACCAGATGATGAATAATAATAATTTATAAATTCAAGTACAACTATACGTATACGGCTCGCCATCACAAATAGCCTAATGTTTTTGTACTGAACTGAATTAAATATTTACCACCGGACCTGCCAGCTCAGCACGGTTCAACCTGGGACCCCCACCGTCAATGCCTAAACTAACCCCTCGGTTTAACCCCCCAACGATATCTGCACGGATTAATTAATTAATAATAGCCCTACCATTTCGCCATCATGTTGTACTAGTACGTCACTGAAATCGTGGGCCCACCGTGCGGGTACCTGGTGGGGCCCACGTGGGCAGCGAGTGAGGCTGGTGGTGGGATCTCGAAGTGGGAGCAAATTGAATAATATCTCACGGGTTTGGGAGAGGGGTGTGGGGGGCCCACCCGTCAGTGACGCGCGTGATGCGCCGGGGGAAATAAGAATGTGTTCTCTGACGCGTACCCCGTATAAATCTCGTTACTCCCACCTCTCTCCTCCTCGTCTTCCTCACTTCCACTTAGATAGATGAATTTATATTTTATTTTTTTACGCGCTAAATCCACCCGCGAAATCTACCCGCGGATGCGAGCGAGCGGGCGCCGCTGAGGTGGTGGTGGTGGTGGAGGTGGCTCCAATGGCGGAATCGTGAGGGGGTTGAGGAAGGAGGAGGGAGGAGGAGGGAGAGAGAAGGGGGGAGCGGAGATGATACGGTACCAGATACGGAACGAGTACGGGCTGTCGGATCCGGAGCTGTACGCGCCGGGGGAGAAGGATGACCCGGAGGCGCTCCTCGAGGGGGTCGCCATGGCGGGGCTCGTCGGCGTGCTCCGCCAGCTCGGGGATCTCGCGGAGTGAGTACCACTGGCTTTGTTCTTTGTTCTTTTTCCTGTGTGGAGAGATGCTAGGGTTCGTGTTAGCGAATGAGCGAGTGAGTGAGTGGCCTCGCTGTGGAGTTTGCAAGTTTCTGGATGTGTTTTGGACTTATGGTACGGTCGATTGAGATGCGGTGTGTCGGTGTTTGAATTTCTTTTTGTGTGTGTTCATCTGCTTTTGGGATGTTTCTATGTACTAGATAACTCGATGGTTTTGGAAACACTTTAATTCAACTTTGTTGCGCTCATTTACTCAATTTCATGGCATCAGTTGGTCTTAGAATTTGCTTCACCTGTTGAATTTGTTACAAATTTTGGGGAGACCACGAGGGATGTATTCTGAGTCCAGTTTGAGCATGTAATTGGATTTCCAAATTTGGGTTGAGTCATGACGTTTTTTTTCCTTCGCAAATGGGGGTTGTGAGTTACATTTGCATCCCTTTCGGGCTAGCAAGATGGGCCACTGCAGATATTGCTTTTTTTAGTCTTCATTGCACGCTTTGCGGATTTCAGGATAGTTCCTTCTTTTTCGTAGTGCAATTGATAGCTGTTTTAGTGAGTGAAGAGATTAGACATTAGACTAGAGGGTACATTGTTGTATTTGGGAATAGAAGAGAAAATTAACACTGCAGCTAATTTCTGTAATTTGGGAAGGGTATTCAACCTTGTTAATTTTGTCTATTGCGGAGTGTTGGAAATGCTGCATAGTTTGGATTTTGTTAGATGAGGGACAAAGACATTTCATTGTGAACTTCATAATAGAGACGAAAGTTCTAGAGAGTCAGATGAGAGCGCCTTTCATATATATTTTCTTTTGAAGGAATAGTTGTAGTGTTTTCAACTCAATTCGGTCAGTATCTAAGTTCAACACTTCGTAAAATTTAAAGCATTTTGTTTTTTTTGAAAAGTTTCTATTATATACCGTGTCATCATTTGGAACTGGTGATTGCAAAACTTTTGCTGGCTTTTGACAGGCTCTTTGTTGGTGAGGTTTGTCTTATAAGCTTTGTTGTATGACATTTTAGTTGTACTGTCTGCAACAAAGATATGCCTGTTGTTGATTATTGATGTTTTCTTACAGATGTAGTAATATTCCTGTTGAAACATCTTGTCATACAGACCATGCCACTATTCCTCTTTTACTTAAGAACTTATGTATTTCCCTCTTGGAAACAAAGGTTTGCAGCTGAAATATTTCACGACCTGCATGAAGATGTGATGGCCACTGCTTCTAGAGGGCATGGTTTAATGCTTCGGTTGCGACAGTTAGAGGCAGAATTTCCTGCAGTTGAGAAGGCCATTATATCCCAGTCTGACCATTCAAATTACCCACATGATGACGGTTAGTTGAAATTTGAAAAAAAACAGAGACTATATGCCTGCCCTGCTTGTTGTTTTCTTTATGGTATGGTTCTTACTTGAAAAATTCTTGGTACATTCTCTTGTAGGTGTTGAGTGGCACACAAATCTTCAGATTGATCAAAATATGATTACTCAAGGAGATATGCCCCGTTTCATTTTGGATTCATATGAAGAATGCCGTGGCCCACCACGTTTATTCACATTGGATAAGTATGGAAATGCTGTTTTTTCATGAGGATTAACCAAATACGTTGTTGGTATTTACACGCTAGGGTTGTTCTTCAGGTTTGATGTTGCTGGTGCTGGGGCCTCCTTGAAACGATACTCAGACCCATCTTTCTTCAAGACAGAACATTCCTCGGACATGATAGAAACGGATGCTGTGATAGAAAAGAAGCCCCGCAAAATTAAGGTAATAATTAATCCTCTATTCTTGCCTGATTATTTTTCACTTCGCCTGGGAGCCTTCAGGAAGTACACCTAATAGTTTCGTGTGCATGAAATGAACGCGATGCTAGCTGATGTTGTTTTGTATTAAATGTAATATTTTTGGTAGTCAGCAGTAATAAATATCTTTGCCTGACAGTATTGGTTTTTGCAATGGTAGGACTTACTAAAACGTTCTTTTTGCATGTCAAATAAAAATCGGGTCAGTTAAATTGCACATGAAAAAATACAGCAGATGGAAAAGAAAAAGGCATGCTGACCTTATTATTTGAAATGTAAATCCAGACCTGATAAATTTTGGAAGGTTGTCCAAGTTAAAATGCCCATTTGTTTAGTTGCTAATATGTTATTACCACAACTTGCGTGAAATATAAGCCTGTCCTGGGAACACCCCTTGACCATTTGTGTTCATTGTTGTTTCTGAATATATATGGATCTTTGTGGTTTTAGTTTTCTTGGATTTACGAACTTATTGATACCTTTCATTTCAGAAAAAAGCTTTGCGTTGGAGGAAAGGAGAAACACTCGAATCATTGCTTATCGCAAACTCTGAGTAAGTCTAGTGCATTTTGATTGGTCATGTACATAATAATCACAAAAATCATGTAGTGATACAATATCATTTTGTGTAAAAATCGGCAGATCCCACACTACCTCAAAGGATCGATCATCTAGAAAAGTTCCACCAAGGACAACAAAGTTGAAATACAGGTATCCTCGGGAGTCTGATCATAAGAACATTAGCAGAATATGCAGAGAGCATCTGCAAGAAATAATCTCATCACAACAAAAGATCTTCTCCAACTATTCTTCGAGGTACTACCATCCAAAGTTTAGATTAACTGAGTCAAGTGAAACGGCATCCTCATTTGGAGAAATAGATAATTTCAGTGCTCGTGCTCAATCTTCTGCTAAACTTGAACTGACTAAGGTTGTTCCAATAAACGAGTTTGATACCAAGGGGATCGCACCTACACACATTAATGGTTCAGATTGCCTGGAGGCCCTGGAGGCAGATGATAGGCAATTACAGGCTACACAGCATGAACCTGACAAAGTGGAAGACGTCTGTAAGAGATCTCTTGTGGAACAAAATGCCATGCTCTCCAACTCTGATAGGATGCAGTCAGTGCAGGAAGAGAATCTTCTATCAGCTATGGTCCCTGCTGATCAAAATGATGATCGCTGCAGACCTGATGACACTGGTAGTGATCAGGAGAACTTCGTGGACGCTCTTAATAACATGGAATCAGAGGGTGAAGCACATGCTGAGATGAAAATAAAAAAGGACCCTGGTGCCAAGATGGAATTGGATGAATTGAACTTTCACCGCGATGAAGGTGAAAATGAACGGCACACAGAGTTTTCAGAACTAGGTCATGTAATAGACTCATCACCATGGTTGAATGATTCATACAATGGTGGAGAACCAAACCATGCAATATCTTCTAATACAAATTTCAGTGGTGTTGATTGCACCAATGATGAAGAGCCTTCTAATGATGTTGACCTAATGGAAATGGATGTCAGCTCATCATCCAGTGTATTCTCTGACGACAATGATGTTTTTAGGACCAATGGTAATATGAATGGTTTTCAACAATACCAGGAGGCATCTTTGTCCAATGATCATCATGCTGTGATTGCCCATAGTTCTGATAAACAGTCATCCCAGAAATCTAGTGGCTTGGATGGTAATTCTTACATTCTAAGTATCTAGTTTTTTATACAAAAATATGATCCCTCTGTTGGAGGATGATAAAAACATCATTAGTTTTTTTTATTTATTGTTCTTATATTTATTTTTACCTACATAGTTATTGTCATGTGATGTCAGGTTCCTCTATCGAAAGCAATGATTTTATTGAAAAACCATTTCACTCATTGGAGGATGATAAAAACTTTGCACCAGATGGTACTTCTGTGATATTGGGCAGACCTAATGATGTATCACAGTGTGAAGAAGAAATTGAAGTTGGAAATGCTGATGATTCATTGCTGCAACCTACCATTTCCAATCAAGAAGTACATAGGTCCAATAACCAACTTGAAGGTGTGGCTATGCACGCAAGCATTTCATCTGGAAAAGTTGCATCTTTCCCTGATATGGATCCTGGTATGTGCACAAAGGACTTGGAGTTGGACAATGTTTTAGTTCCTAAAGAAACTGTTGCAAATACACCCCCAACAGGTTTAGGTACTGATCATATCCACGAGCATGTGGACGGTAAGCCATTTGTTTGTTTATCTGTCTTCAACATCTTGCATTTTATTATATTTAAATGCTTTATTTAGTTGGGATATTTCATTTCATTAAATGAAACCTTATTATTGCAGAGCTTGATTCGGGAGTTGCACCAATCAATTCAAGCATTCAGAGTGATTCGACATATGAATCAGATGATGATGACATGGCTGAAGATTTGAACTCTCTACCAGAAGATGATCTATATAAGCATGACGTAGAGGACCTATATAAGCATGTTTTAGAGGATGATGGAATAATTGCGCTAGGAAAAGGGCCTTGTTCCACTAGGGCCAACATGCATCAAGAGGACCCTATGGAAGTCTCTGATGTGCGTGGGGACTTCTCTAATGGTCAAGAGCTCCCAGTACTCACTGAAACTGCATCTCCTCAAGGAGAATTAGTAGGAGGAGGAGAGCTCCCATTACTCACTGAAACTGCATCTCCTCAAGGAGGAGAAGAAGATCTTGCAGATGAGGTGGTTGTGATCTCTTCTCGTGATCTGAATGATGAGAAGAAGCCATCGTTGGCTGAGGTCCCACTAGCTTGCGGTGATGCCTCTCTGCTTGACAGTAGTGCTTCCTGTTTGGAACATGACGAGTCTACTGAAACAGGAGAAATTGCAAAAAGTGATGAAGTTCTGGTCAATGTTGAGGTTGCAGAAGAATCCATCACTGGCAGGTTTACTGATGACATGACACCTTTTCAAGAGGATCTTCCTGATGGTGCCAAATATAGTGAGGATGCAGAATTTTTGGCTAATCCTAGGGTGGACAACTCTAGGCACGATGTGCAATTACAGTCTAGTTCCCCTTGCAGGGAAGAGTTGGAAACAGTGAAAGCTCCATGTGAAAATCTTTGTGCATTAGATGAATCAAGAGAGCATATATTCGAGAAAAGTGTGTTGCAGATAAACAATCTTCCCCAGCATATTGAAACAAAAAATACAGGTGAAGCATGTAGTGACATTGATGATATTCAACATCTTTCAGCATTGCATTGTCCGAAAAATCCTGTTTGTCAAGAGGAATTACCAGACGAGACCAATCTTAGTGCTGACGTTCAGTATCATTGTGATGTGGAGAAGGGTGGTGCAGTAATCTTGAATAGTAAAATGGTGGAAGAACAACCAGAAAATATTGATTTGGTGAGGGAGCCTCGTGCTCAAGATTCTTTTGGTACAAACCCATTCATGGATCCTGGGTACAAAGCGAATCATGCTCTAGCTGATCCGTGTCCTAGCTATCAACCATGTTTCTCTGAGGAAGAACAGGATTTTATTTCAGAACTATTAATCCCTCATGGTAATATGGGAATCGAAGACCTGAATCCGGTTCCGGTTGCTGATTCCCTCTGGGAACCTGCAACTCCACCTGATGAGGTGCCATTGCCATCAGAAGTTATGACTGAGGAGGACTTCAGATCGTTCTGCCATGAGTACCACGAGATGGATCTGACAGCAACGCCTGAAAGTATTGATGATAAACCAGCCTCAGATTCTAATGTCGTCTCAAGTAGTTTGGTGACCAGTGAGTCGGAGTTCCTCTATTGTGTCTCTGCAGTACGGACAGGAGTGGACCAGGAGGAATCCAGGGATGCTCCAGATGATACATTGATGCACTTTTCTGCCAAAGCGGATCCTGATGACAAGGCAGCAAATTCTGACTTAAAATCCGATGAGCCCTTCATTGATGAGAAAATTCATGAATTAGGTGTCCCTTCTGTTCCAATGGAACTAGAGGTGGAACAACATGCCTTGCATGAGGTTGATTCTCATGGTGATTCCCAGTTGTTGGATAATGACATGATCGATGAAACATGTAGCTCTCCTTCAGGCAACAGTATTGCAGTGAAAGATAAACAGGAAACCTGTGCCAATCTTGTTTCACGTGCTTTTATTAATGAAAGGACAGATGAACTAGAAGTTCCTGTGAGTAACTCCGTATTGTTGGAACCATCAGAAGAAGTTCATGACTCGGATGAATATAATTACCAAGATGTTCCATGGTCTTCAACTGATGAGGGGAGAGATGAAGTGGATGCCCATCCGTTGAGCAAACGAATTCAAACCCAGGGATCAGAAGCTCTTGTTTTAGGCGAACTTGATTCTCGAGCTGTTCCATCTTGCTCTGTTAATGAGATGGCAGATCATGTAGATGCCCCTCCTTTGAGTACTGTTCTTGAAGCAGAACAGGAACCAGAAGATTGTATATCAGGAGAGCATAATTCTCAAGTCACCAAATCTTCTTTGGTTGATGAGAAGATAGGTGAACTGGATGATGCCTCTCCATTGAGCAATACTCTCCTAGCGGAAATGGAGAGAGAAGTTTGTGTCCCAGGAAAATCTGCTTCTCAAATCGCTTCATGTTCTCCAACACCAAGTAATGAGAAAATAGATGAACTAAATGCCCCTCCGTTGAGCAGTTCTGGTTTAATAGAACTCGAGTCAGAAGACAGTGTCTCTGGTGATCTTGATTCCCAAATCATTCCGTGCTCTTCACCTAATGATAAGACTAATGAACCAGATGGTGCTACATCAACTCATGTTCTTCCGGTGGAGTTAGAGCAGGAAGTGTGTTCATTCCCAGAATTGGATTCTCTAGTTGCTCCATGTTCCTTGAATGATGATAAGGTTTGTGAGCTAGATGAACCTCCATGCAAGCAATTGGAATCAGAGAACGGATCTTATTGCTTGCCTCAAGTTGATTGCCAAATCGAACCATGTTATTCAGAATCAGTTGTACTATCTGAGGCATCGACAATGTCTTCTGCTAATGCCATGCCAAGTACTGAGGAAACATATCGGTTGTCGTCTCCTGTTCCACCACCCAACGAACCGTTTTCAAATGTTTCCTATGAAGATCCTCAAAAACCACCACCTCTCCCTCCTCTTCTATGGAGGCTTGGAAAGCCTCGCTTAGGAATTGCAAGTACAAAAGGCCATATGCTTGAGCCTGAAAGAGGGAAAGGTCCTGTTTTGCATACTTCAGATGCAGGGATGGATAATATGCCAGGTTGCCTAAGTGGAATGACTGAATCAATAGAGCCGGTTTCCTCTCAAGAGATCAAAGAGAGGCATCTAGATCCTATATTAGACAATAATGAGCGAGGAGTAGAGTTCAGAAGATTGGCTACACCTCCGACAGCAAATGATGTTGCAGTGACTGAACATGTTCAGTTATTTTCAGATGCTTGTGAGAACATTAAGCATCAGGAGCGTGTGTCTTCATCAGAAACAGAGGCTGAGGAACATCAGAATGGCACTGGGATCACAGATGTAATGGATTCACACCCACCAAAACCATTGTTTCTAGTTCCATCAATCAGCCAGCAGGGCCTTCAGGGGTCCGTTTTTCCTTCGGATACTTCAGACAATGGTGAGCATTCTAGTTATACTTCTCGAGCGGTATCAGAGGATGAAAAAACAGTGGATGACCACAATGCTGCATGTGCCATGGACTTGCACATAACAAGCTCTTCAGCATCAAGTCATGTTTCAGAGAATGGGTGTAACCAGCAATCTCATGGTGAATCGCTCCCAGTGACTTCAGTTGATAAAGTGCATACTTCAGATGCATCATGCGAGGACAACAAACTAAAAAACCATTTTATCACAAGCGAGGTGTGTTCAGACGCAACAAATCTTTCTGCATCAGGCTTGCTGACGGAAGAAGAAAATATCCATAATGTGGAGGATCAGTATGAAGGCCCATTACCTAGTGAAGAATCATCAGGATGTCTAGATTACCCACATGATGACCACAATTCGGAGAAAGAAGACATACACCAGCCAGATGGGTATGCAGCAAGCCCTGGCAATAATAACCACTTTGATAGCTCTCATGAAGGTGGCTATTTACATGCCGAGCAGCCACCAGTCATGGGCTGGACTGTGAGACCCCAGATGCTTCATCCAAATTACGGCATCTCAATGGAAGAGAACCAATTTGAACCAAAGGTTGAAGATCATCTACTAATCAAGAAACCAGTTTCAATTAGAAATATCCCAAGGAATCCACTGGTTGATGCTGTTGCTGCCCATGATAGAAGCACGGTAGGTGCCTTCATTGTGAGCGCCTACGTTTCATATGTTCCTGTATTTTCCCCTAACACCACTTGCTCTTTCTTTTTGTAGATGCGGAAGGTTTCAGAACTTGTGGCCCCAACTGATAAGTCAAAACCTAATGAAAGAAACCTGTTGCTAGAGCAGATAAGGAACAAGGTTGGCAATAAAATGCGCTCTCTCTCTCTCTGACCATCCTCTCTCCTCTCCACTCTCTAACTTGTTTGCTGTTTGCTCTCATAATCAGACCTTCAACCTGAAGCCGGTGAGTTCAGCTAAGCAGCCAACAATCAGAACCCCTCCTAGAGCCTCAACAAGGAACTTGAAAGTTGCTGCCATAATAGAGAAAGCGAACGCCATACGACAGGTTATCCATCTCTGCAGTGAAATTCCATAGTTCCCATCTTGATATTGATATCTTCCGTTTACTTATCTGTCATGGCTATCTTATGGAGCAGGCGGTTGGAAGCGACGATGAAGACGGAGATAATTGGAGTGAATCGAGTGACACATGAACGCGCACATTTTGCCCCATTTTTGTGGCTGGAAGGTGCCGAAACTTCACGAAGCTCCTGCCTTCCTGGACAGGCTGCACAGCCAATCTCATCTTTTGGATAGCGTTGCTAGTCTTGTGTATAGTATATGCCCATACATCTTGTCTTTTTTTGCATTCTTTTAGCCCGCATTTGTATGTATACTTTCCTCTCCCAGCAGCAAAGGCTGCTGATGGTAGTCATGTTCCGAGGACTGTATTATTCAGGCCTATATGTAAATTATCAATCTGTTTGTTTCAGTTAAAGCTGATTTATCTAACATGACAGTCATCTTTGTGTTTAGTTGTGATCTATATGTTGTACCCCTCCGTTTTTTAATAGATAACGCCGTTGACTTTTTCTTATGTTTGACCATTCGTCTTATTCAAAAAATTTACATAATTATAATTTTTTTTATAAGTTGTTTTATCACTCATAGTACTTTAAGTGTGATTTATATCTTATACATTTGCATAAAATTTTTGAATAAGACGAATGGTTAAACATGTGAGAAAAAGTCAACGGCGTCATCTATTAAAAAACGAAGGTAGTATAAATATTGTGCAGTTGCTTACATTTAGGGCTTCTTTGAATCGCAGGAATGAGAAAACATAGGAATAGGAAAAACGTAGGATTTTGATAGGAATATAAGTGTAAAACAGAGGATTGCAAAACACAGGAAAAACACAGGAATGGTCGTTTGATTGGACCGCAGAACACAGGAAAAACACAGGAATGGTCGTTTGATTGGACCGCAGGAAAAACGCAGGAATTAGAGGAGAGATAAAGACTCAGAAAGTTTCCAAAAGGTTTTACCTCATGTTAGAATTCCTCCAAAACTTTCATGTTAGAATTCCTCCAAAACTTGCATGGCATTAGGCAATCCATAGAAATTTCATAGGATTCCATAAGATCCATTTCTTTGATATATTAGAATTCCTCCAAAACTTGCATGGCATTAGGCAATCCATAGGAATTTCATAGGATTCCATAAGATCCATTTCTTTGATTCAAAGGGTTATATAGAAAAAATTCCTATAGGAATAAAATCCTCTAAAATATGAATTTCCTTTGAATCAAAGGGGGCCTTACAGGATACAGTCATACACCCGTTTGTTAACTGATTCAAAAACTGGGTGTATTCAGACGAATTCAGAACCGTGTTTCACAAACTAGGTTTGAAATGAATCAAGGAACATGGTACAGTGCTGCAATGTGATGTGACACAGGGAATGGCTATGGAGATATACGCAGAAGCTATACAAGAACTTCCATGGCAAGGTTGTAACCGGAGACGAGAGCGGAAAGGCCGGCGGCCAAGAAGGCGAGGAACGCCATGCTGATGGCCGCCGCCGCGGAGTCGGTGAACAGGTTGTCGGCGGCCTGACGCATGTAGTCCGTCACCGGCGCCGCCGCCGACAACGCCGACATCAACAGGTAAGCGACGACCTGACGATGACATGATCCAAGTTGGTGGCGGTGGTTGGATCGGAGCATTGCAAATTCCAAGTAATAAAAAAAATGAAGCTGTGCACATGTATATGTACGGTACACCTACCTGATCTCCGGCGAAGTCAACGACGGCCGCCGCCTTCCTCCCCGCGATGACGTCCCGTCCCCAGCTGAGCCGGTGAACGTCGCGCGTGACCTGCGCCGTGGTGTACAGCACGGCGATGATCGAGATGCCGAGGCAGTAGCTGCACGGGAAACGATCGATCGGAGGTTAGGTTGAGAAGACGGCGGAGAAACTGTGGAAATTGCAGGCGGAGAGGACGTGTATTCCGGGTAGTTGTCGAAGTCCTGGGCGCCGCCGTGGCCGTGCTTGTTGGACGCCATGACGACGAGGGCGAGGAGGGAGAAGAGCCACGCGACCGCCCGCAGCAGCAGCCGCGCCCGCGCCGCCGCGGGCTCCATCTTCCACCGCTCCACGATCGACCTCGACACCGGCACGCTGCCGTCGGCGGCGGCTGCGGCGCCGGCTGGTCCCGGACCCGACGCGTCATCACGGCCGTCGCCGGCAGGCGGGCCGGACGACGACATCGGCGTCGGCGACGGGCGGATCGTGTTCGTGTGGCGTACGCGTCATCTTCCTCGGATGGTGACTTGCCGGCCAAAAGCTCGCCTCGTTGGCGGTGGGGACGCTACGGTCCATGAGCTTAGTTGGCTCAGTGGATGCGGAAGCAGTACCACAGTGAGATAGGTAATGGGCCGCACCTAGGCATGGGCCATGGGCCACACGGTGAATTCAATGGGCCACGTGAGAGCGTAGAAACTGGGTAGATAACCTGTGAGAGTTTTTTTTTTTGAAAAAGTCCAATTTGACTCCCTTAATTGTACGCCGAATCTAATTCATACCCCTTAACCCGAAAACCGGATAGGACGACTCCCCGAACTAATGAAACCAGTGCAATTTGACTTCCTCAGCGGTTTTGGAGGACGGTTTTGCTAACGTGGCGCTGACGTGGCAGTGTTGACCCGGTCTTCGTCCCACGTGGCGCTGACGTGGCATTAGAATTGAAAAAAAAAATCAGTGGGACCGATCTGTCATTCACACAAAAAATAATGTGAGACCAACTGACATGTGGGGTCCACATGTCATCTTCTCTCATTCCCTCCTTTCTTCTCCCTCTCTCCCCTCTCTCTTTCTCTCCCCCTCTCTTGGTCGGAGTGGTGACGGCGACGGCGGCATGCGGGCGAGGGCCACAGCGGTGTTGACGGTGGCATGCGGGCAAGGACCAGAGCGGTGGTGACAGCGGCATGTGGGTGAGGACCACAGCGGTGGCGACAGCGGCATGCGGGCGAGGACCAAAGCGGCGGCGGCGGGCAGGAGGCGGGGGATCCAGGCGGCGTTGTTGCTGGAACCACGCCCACGACGGCGTCGCCAGACGAGCACGGGGAGCTTGGCCTCGGCAATGGCGGCAAAGTAGTCGAGGCAGAGGAGCGTAAAGACGTTGGGGGAGATGGCGCGGTCATGGGAGGCAGCGTCGGTGGAGCGCAACGCCGCCGAGCTCATGTGCGCCCTCCGCGCCGTTGTGATACTCCTCTACCTCCATCGCCGCTAACCGAAGCACCGCCGCCTTCCTAGGCTATCGCCGGTTGTGGAGAAGGGAAAGGGGAGAGGCAGCGCCGCCGAGATCTCGCTCACCCTCCGCCGCCGAGCTCGGGAGCGTCCTCCACGCTATCGAGCTACTCCTCTACCTCCGCCATCGCCTGCCGAAGCGCCGCCGTTGTCCGAGAAGAGATAGGCAGCGCAGCGGAAGGGGGGAAGCGGACGCAGACGACGATGACGACATGGATATGGCGAGGTGGAGCTGGAGGGGGTGGTGGACGCTCTAGCGCCCGCCTCCCGTACGCCGCCGATCTGTCTCTAGCCCCGCGCATACGCCGCCGTCGCCACTCCGGCAGTCCGGCCCCCGCTTGCCGCCGCCATCGATCCCCGCGTGCGTCCGGAGTGGGAGGGGGAGAGAAAAGAGAGAAGGGAGAGAGAGAGGGAGGAGGAAGAAGGGAAGGAGAAGGATGACATGTGGGCCCCACAATATATTTTGTGTGAATAGCAGATGGGTCGCACTGATTTTTTTTTCAATTCTAAAACCATGTCAGCGCCACGTGGGACGAAATCCGGGTCAACACTGCCACGTCAGCAAAACCGCCGAGGGAGTCAAATTGCACTGGTTTCATTAGTTCGGGGAGTCGTTCTATCCGGTTTTCTAGTTAAGGGGTATGAATTAGATTCGGCGTACAATTAAGGGAGTCAAATTGGACTTTTTCCCTTTTTTTTTTCTCCTTTCCTTTTTTTAGTAGGGTGTTCACTCATAGAATTTTATTATTTTTAAGAACTTTTTTTTATTAATGGACCCTTTTAAAACTTATTTTAAAAATTTGAACATTTTGATCATGCTAGCTTGCTTGCGCGTGGTAATTTTATCATGCCACGTCAACCAGAGTGATGTAACAATATTGTTTTGTCATGTCCGGAATAGTCAGATCTTGAAAATAATTATTGGAAAGAATTATTTTTAAATTAAAAAAGTTAAAAAAAAACCCTCACTCATATGGGTTGCAAGTGAATTAATCGAGAGCATCTCAAAAAAGGAGGAGAAAAGACCAGAAAGCACAGAATAGTTCTCTCCTTTGGCACGATTGGCTGCTGCAGCCAGTTCATCATGGTCGTCGGTGACACGCTACCAGCAACATGCCAAAACCACAAACCCCAAAAAAGAACGGTGCGTCGACCTGTTGCTCTCTATACTTGGCCTACTCATCTACTTCCTCCGTTATGTAAGTCATTCTAACATTTTCTATATTAATATTAATATTAATGAATCTAGATAAATATATATGTCTAGATTCATTAATATTAATATAAATATAAAAAATGTTAGAATGACTTTCATTGTGAAATGGAGAAATGTTAGAATGACTTACATTATGAAATGGAGAGAATACTTGACTACTTGTGTCACTCTCCGATCTCCACCAATTCGCCGCGCCCACTCGAAAGCGCACGCCGCCGCCGCCGACGACGATCCTCCCAATCACACAACCCGATCACCAACGACAGTCGACAACAAGACCAGAATAATCCGGTGGAAAAAAAAACACTTTCTTCGCCACCACACACGTTTTTTTTGTCGCTGTCAACAGCATCAGCGTCCCCGCCACCTACCGATCATCATCCTCATCCTCGCGCCAAACCAAAACCTACGTGTCACTCGTCGTCAAGCTCTCCACGATTTTGCAACGTTTTTTTGAGCTCAAAAGATTGGTTGATTGATTGCTTTGGTTGTTGGTTGGGTAGAGTCGTCGCCGGAGTTCATGGGGGCTGAGGCGAAGGCGCCGCTGCTGGAGGGGAGGAGGGGCGCGACGCCGGCGCAGACGCTGGGCAACATCGTCGTCTCCATCGTCGGCACCGGCGTGCTCGGCCTCCCCTACGCCTTCCGCACCTCCGGCTGGCTCGCCGGAGCTCTCGGCGTCGCCGGCGCCGGCGCCGCCACCTTCTACTGCATGCTCCTCCTTGTCAGTAATTACTCACACACGCGCTTTCCTCTGCTTAATTAAGTCGCTTCTAATCACGCGATTAAGTGTAATTAATTTTGTGTGTGTTTTTTTTGGTTCGTTTTGTAGCTGGATTGCAGAGACAAGCTACGGGAGCAAGAAGAGGTGGATCACGACGGCAACTACACCTATGGCGACCTCGGCGAGAAATGCTTCGGCGCCATTGGGAGATACTTCACCGAGGTCACCATCATCCTCTCCCAGACCGGCGGCTCCGTCGCCTACCTCGTCTTCATCGGCCAGAACATCTGCTCCGTCTTCCCCACCACCGCCGCCGGCGGCGAGGAGCCGCCGCGTCGCGTGTCGCCGGCAGCCGTCGTCCTCGCCGTGCTCCTGCCGGCCGAGGCGGCGCTCTCCTTCATCCGCTCGCTGTCGTCGCTGGCGCCGTTCAGCATCCTCGCCGACGCGTGCACCGTCCTCGCCGTGGCCACCGTCGTCAGGGAGGACGTCCAGCTCCTCGCCGGCCGCGGCGGGAGCCCATTCCAGGGGCGGAGCGCCCTCGCGGGGCTCTGGGGCGTCCCGTTCGCCTGCGGCGTCGCCGTGTTCTGCTTCGAGGGGTTCTGCCTGACGCTGGCGCTGGAGGCGTCCATGTCCGACCGGAGGAGGTTCCGCCCCGTGCTCCTCCACGCCATCGCCGGCGTCACCGCCGTCTACGTCTGCTTCGGCGTCTGCGGCTACCTCGCCTACGGCGACGTCACCAGAGACATCGTCACTCTCAATCTCCCCAACAACTGGTCCACCGCCGCCGTCAAGGTCACCACCAAATCAAACATAAATTCTTTTAGAGTTCTTTGATCAAGTTGGCCATCAAGCACGATTTGATTATCCGATTCGCAGATCGTGCTGTGCGTCGCGCTGGCGCTCACGTTCCCGGTGATGATGCACCCGATCCACGAGATCGTGGAGGCGCGGCTGTTCCCGTCGGCGGGCGGGTGGGCGCGGAAGCGCGCGGCGGTGCAGGCGAGCCGCGTGGCGGTGGTGGGCGCGGTGACGGCGGTGGCGTGCTTCGTGCCGGCGTTCGGGGAGTTCGCGGCGTTCGTGGGGAGCACGGTGTGTGCGCTGCTCTCCTTCGTGCTCCCGGCGCTGTTCCACCTCCGCCTCGTCGGAGCGGCGGCGAGCGCGTGGCGGCGCGCGGTGGACGGCGGCTTCTTGCTCCTTGGGCTGGCCTTCGCGGCCCATGGGCTTTACACGGTTGTCTCGGGCCTCTGAACTGGGCCGTAATGGGCTCTCCTCGCCGTCCAATCCCAATCCAGCAGCTTCTCTCTTCCAGTATATATTTTTCCAGACATTTTTCAAGACGTGTATAATGTACTACACTAGATTAGCATACTAGAATTTTTTTTTTCTTCCAATAATGTAAAAGCGTTACATTTGCAGCTAATTTTGCATGTAGGAACACAATTTCCTTATACTTTTTACTACTTTTTCAATAGTTCACTTTTGGTGTCGATTTTTTTTTTAAATAAAACAATAGAAATAGTTTACATCTCTGGCCTTTTTGTCAATAGACACTGTCACTTTTGGTGTCACTGATTGCTGCATTGTACGTACAAGGCTATAAGGGCTCACGTGCTATAGCTTCGGTTAGCTGCACAAGTTGAGGTAGTGAAATGTGCAGGGCAGAGCATGCCAGCTTTGTTCTCAACTGAAACTTTCAATCGATGATCAGGAGCAGGCACACTGCTGATGATAGATGCATGGTCATATGGGCAGTGTGCGCTGGGACACCTGCACATCCATCCATTTGACCTGCTCTGGACAAATAGTTAGATTTACCCCTTTTTTTTATACATGATAAACGGATTACTTTTTTTTTTATCGATTTTGTCTTTTTTTTTCTTTTTTGGAGCGTGCAGCAACAGTTTTTCTCTGTTTGGAGCGTGACTCGAGCAAGAGGAAGGATTGGAAAGAAGAACGACTTAGCCGTCTGCGTTCATAGAGATAAGTATATGCGTGTTATGAGTGTTTACGTTTTATTATGTTTCTAAAAAGAAAGGTAGCCGGATATATTTATACTCTAAAATGGGTAGAGTAAATATGAATTTTATGTTCTTTCAAACAAAAAGGAAAATGATTAATTAATTACTCCGTGGCTCCGTGACGTGCACGGCAGTTTGTATGTAGTGTAAAATTTGTGCTAATTAGCTCGCGCCTCAAGATGATAACGTAGCTAATAAGGTACAGTAATTTGTCGAAGACTGAGAAATTACCATTAAAAAAAGAGCTCTGTCTCTTTTCTAATACTCTACCATATATACTGGGCATCTAGTACACATAGCCTGTACAGATGTACTCTCTGCGCTATATTTACTGATACAACAAAAATATGTAGAAAAATATAGTACTAGTACCTGTACTCTATAAAGGTACGTACTGTACAAGCTTGCAATAGAAAAAAAGACGAAAAGAAAGAATCAGACGCTCCTCTGCTGTGCAGTGTACTGCATCTAGTTACAATAACTACTGTAGAAATTTTCCTTGAGAAAAACCAATGGAAAACAGGGAGATCTTGGTACGTTATACTGCCCCAATAGTACACACTACGGTATGTATACTTACCTACGTGGCGCATTCTGGGCCATTGAGTTATCAGCCATAGAGGATCGGACGGACCACCTGAAGTGGCAGCTAGCCATCAAATGCGCACACAGGTAAATGAATGATAGGCCTTTTTTACAACCAATTTTGCAGGGAGAGGCAGCTATAGCTGTTGCATCATGTGCTAGCTCGTATGGGTCTCATCCTGCATTACACCCATCACTCGTAGCTGCACCTTCCCTGCAACTCAACTGAATATATGGAGTACACTTGTTGCAGAACTGAAACATGCACGCAAAGTTGCACAGACAATCACGCAAACCAGAGAACAACACCACCACCACCAACAACAATAATAATAAAAGTATGTGGTTTAGCGTCTGTGTTTATAATGTATATATAAAAAATTTATGTGCGCATTTATTTTGAAAATCTAACTTATGAAAAAAGAGTTCAAAAGAAGTATTTCTCCAAGGTTTATTAGAGGTAGATATGGAGGGAATGGCTTGTGTGGTCTTTGGCAGACTGCAGGATTATTGATATTTTGCATTATCATGGAACATGCTCATGAATTGGTTAGGTCAGCATTTACTTCGTTCTTGTAGGGTAGCAAGTTAAGGCCATGCCCATAACCTATCAATCAACGACATGCATGCATGCTGGTTCATGAATGAATACATTTATACATGCATGGTTTCATGCACATAGATGCATGGAGTATACAGTAAACTAACCAAGAGAAGTCAGAAGAAGCAAAAGCTATAGTTAGCACCATGGCATGACCAGGTGCAAGAAAAGCAAAGAGGTAATCAAGCTAAGCTAGCTATAGAGTGCATGCCCATCTCATGGACAGAGTAGAACAGACAGCTATATGCAAATAGCTCACCTTTCGGTACTGAACTGTGGCAAGCAATGAAAACTTCAGAGGTGTGCGTGGAGACTGCAGATTTAATTGGTCGTGTGGTAAGAACAAACCATGGAGCTCAGGATAGATAGCGCCTAGTTTGATTTCGAGGCGCTATCCCTCCTGAGCTTCAAGGATTGTTCCATACCCTTCCTCAAAACATCTCTCCCTTTGAACGCCTAAAAGAGTCCTCACTTCCCTCGACAAGAGGTGGATGAAGAAGAAGAAGAAGAAACAAAGGCCATGAGATCCTTCATGCATGGTGGAGAGAAGTGAGCTAGCTAGAGAAGTAATGAAGGTGTTGATGAGTGAGGTGATGATAGGGGAAGAAGTGAGGATGGATTGGCCCAGTGGTGCCTCTTGCTCTATTTATAGTGAGAGAATAATACTAGTAGCTGGAGTAGTATCAATCTCTCTCTCTCTCCTCTTCTCTTCTCTTCTCTCTCTCTCTCATGTTTTTGTGAAATGTGAAAGGAGACAACTGTCACATTTCTTGAGGTATGGGGGAGGGAGAGGGGGAGGAGGAGGGGGAAGAGAGTCTTCTCTTTGATCTGTGTGTAAGTTCTCTCCATCTCCAGCTAGCTCTTGCTTTTAATTGAAGCAATGCATTGCAATTGCAAGCTGCCTATACTTACTGTTACTGCAATATATGCCAATACATGGGTGCCCATGGCCATCTATGCATGATGCATCATCAGATCAACTACTTGGATGGATCCTGCCCTAATAAAAGTGGCTAGTGTCACCACTTGGTACCACAACTCCAGGCCTCATTTCATCTTTCTCCATCCATGTACCATTTTTGATCCCGTATCAAGAACAAGGTGACAAATGCTAGAGACAAGGGCATTGGCCATATGCATCAAATGAAAAATCTGGTACAGTTGCTAGCTAGAGCTAGCTAGCATGCATGCAAAGATATCTGACACTAAATCATTCTCATCAATGTAATCCCTGTGACCTATCACCAACATGCATATATATACATACTTGTATATATAAACTCTTGTACTGACTGAATACATCAGTTGAATATTTTGCAAATTTCGGCCAAGTCTACGTCAAATTAACTGCTGCACTATATAGCAGTATACATCGAACAGTATGTGGCTATGTGCTACTGTGTTATCCAACATATCTAGTCAACATATATACTAGAAGCGATGTGCGTCCTTCAATTCATAGAAAAAAGAAAAAAGAAACTTCCAACAAGCAGGGAACTGTTCAAAAGAAACTGTACTGTATTATATACTAGTATTTCTGATTCTGAAAGTCTGAAACGCATTTGTAAAACCAGAAACTGTTTCTTTTTGTTTGTTTGTTTTCTCTGCTGCTTTTATTTGATGATTTGAATGGAGCTAGCGCTATCTAGCTTTTCTTCTACAGAATCGTTTATCTCTACTCTGTGAGATTAGACAAGTGAGATAGCTTTTTGGTCAGGTATCATGGATCTAGCTTTTGGTTACTCTAAAAAAGGGATCTAGCTTTCGGTTGATTTGTCCATGATGTGAGATAGCCCTTGACCAATATAGATAGTCAATTGCCAATATAAGACAAGCAATGTACACACATTGCATATCCATTCCATGCTCAAATGATTATCCCATAATTACCTTCCTATAGCAACAGGTAAAAGGAAACAAGAAGCAAACATAAAATTCTTAAGCTCAGTTTGATTTTAGAGGAAGAGAATGTATGCTATGCATGAACTATATATACAGTATGTGTACTGCTTGTGCACTAGGCTCAACACACAACTCGTCCAATGTACATAGCTGTACACTGCTGGTAGCTTCTACAGGGAATCAACGGCTAGATGGAATTAAGAAGATTAAATTTATCATACATGCTTGGCAGGGAAAAACACATCAATCGATCGATCGACAGGGCATTTAAAACAATACATGGATGTGCCTAAATCATGTTCATCAATGTAGCATTCACGAACAATCCAGTGGATGTTTGTAGTACAGTCATAAAAAGAGACTGGCTCCCACAGCTGGAACTGCATGCCTTTAGAACATCATCGATCGTGCATTATGTACATATACGTGTTTCTTTTTCTTTATTGCCAAATGGTAGTACAGTACACATTGAGTAGCTTGTTGTGTGGCTTAAAATATCACTCAAATATTGAAATTTTACAATAGAAACTTTGCAACCCTGGCCATGTGACTAACGATAGAGGTTACACTGGGAATGTAAATTCATTTATATTATCTAAATAGATGTTTTAAGGAGGTCTCCATTTATTGAATCCATCTAAGCATTTCTAAGCGTTAAATTTTCTAGTGTAATGGATCATATGTATATTACCACCTTAACTACTGGCAGTGGCGAAGCTATACTGTTCTTGGGGGGTGCACATGAACCCCCCAAATTTCTAATTTCTCACTCAAAAACAGTAGAATGTACAGTGTTGTTTTGAAATTTTCTAGATTCTCAATGGTAGTGCACCCCTCTTGTTTTGATGCTAGCTTCGCCCCTGCAGTGGCGAAGCTATACTGTTCTTGGGGGTGCACATGAACCCCCCAAATTTCTAATTTCTCACTCAAAAACAGTAGAATGTATAGTGTTGTTCTGAAATTTTCTAGATTCTCAATGGTAGTGCACCCCTCTTGTTTTGATGCTAGCTTCGCCCCTGACTACTGGTAGCTATATATATATGGTACTCCCTCCGTACTCGTAAAGGAAGTCGTTTAGGATAATGTTTAAATCAAACATTGGGAATATAAATCATGAATAACTCTAAAGTTGTTGAATTTGAGAATGTAAAAATTATATGAATAGATTTGTCTTGAAAAATACTTTCATAAAAGTATACATATATTATTTTTTAATAAATATTTTTATAGAAACAAGAAGTCAATGTTATATTTTGGAGATCGTGTCGCTGTCCAAAACGACTTCCTTTATGAGTACGGAGGGAGTACAAAAAATTAACGATTCAGATAACTTGTACTTGTAATAATACCGACGTAGAATATAGACCACCACAAAGGTACCCTATCTAACAGAATTGCGGAAACATTGGTTTATACACC